GTGGTGGTGGTGGTGGTGGTGGTGGTGGTGGTGGTGGTGGTGGTGGTGGTGGTGGTGGTGGTGGTGGTGGTGGTACGCACAGAGGTGTTAATGAGCAGGCGGTTCCAGTGACTGACGGGCACGCCGTGAAAAAGGGAACGTGTGTGTGCGTGAGGCTGCGACGGCCGGGGTGTTTAACGTGAATCAACACGATTCACTACAGATGTTTCACAGACAAATTGAGGATATATCCATGCACACATGTGATGCGTTTTGCGTTTTTTTTACAATTTCTTTGAAACTATGGCCTGAACCCCTACTACAACCAGTGCATGCTAACCCTATGTCTAGCTGAGTTGTTTGTGCCATCAGACATGTTGTAAGCCCCGGCATGTGGTCTTGAACCACTCCGGGGCCGCTGAGTTGGCTCTGGCCAGATTACGCCACCCTACTACCAGAGTTGAAGATGACCGTAGAGGACGTGGACACAACCGTTTACTTCAGAGCTCAACCACGTTGGTGTCGTGTCGTGCGTGGCGTTTGCGCGTGTCTTAATACCTCGGCCGTATGAGTCATACGTGCGCTAACACGGGCATCTAGGTGTTGTGATAATCTAGAATAACAGTTCGCGCTAATGAGGGAGGAGTTGATGTTCTGCGCGGATGGCTGCATGATGTCGGAGACTGGAGTAACCGGATTAACGAGTGTGAATCAATAGACATAATCGTCCATTTAATTTAATGCAGCCCGAGGGATAATGCTACTTCAACTCCATTCATTGGAGATGCGTTCTAATTCGACCGAAATAATTGAAATTAATGCCGATTTTATGATGGAAAAGGTGGAGGAGTTTATGTTCTCACAGTACCATAAAACGATACCACGGGGCTAGGCTGAAGCCTAATTTGTTAAACGTGTTAATGATGCTAATGTTTATCGATTATTGTTTTTTTGCAGTTTGACGAATTCCAGTGGGTGTTCTGATGCACGTTGGGTGGCCCGAGATCTGAATTCTCACAAACTGCTCTCCCACACTCACAGGGATACTGCGCACACACGCACGCACACGTGACACTCGCGGCGTATAAAACTGCACCTGAACGGAGCACCCTGAATTGATTTGGCCTCGCGACGATGGGAGACATTACGCACTTGCTGGTCTTCGCCCAGGCCGCTCTCTACGCCCGGAGGATGCGTCAGCAGACGGTGCTGGACAGTCACCTCTTCACGAACCTGCCTCTGCGACCCTGCTGGGAGCGCGATCTCTGCCCAGAACCGCGTTACGACCTGCTGCGTTGGATGCCTTAATGGTGACACGCACGGTTCCATCAACTCACCACTTAATTCTCCCTCGGATTCTTCAAGCAGACACTTGATTTTGACTTTTCTGCCGCCTTTTAGTTTTGTTAAACCACTTTGGTGCGGAGTTGCTATTTTGTTACACAAATAAATTAGGGCTTTAAGATTTTTTGAAACGACAATATATAAATTTCCGATTTACATGAATTGCGTGCTTGTCTTTTTCAAGGCTTAACCAGGCCAGATAATTTGAAATCGTATCATTAGGACAGGTGTAATAAGAATATTTACAAGGTATAAGTGTTAGTACGGCGCACTAGAACACCATTACTTGCATAAGTTATCTGTAAAGGTGCACACAAGAGCCATTCACAACTTAATTTTAAATAAAATTACCGCCTGATTTCGTGTCCTATGCGATTTATTTTCTAGGCATGCTTCACTACAAAATGCTGTCAGAATTTCCCTAAAAACAAGTATTTAGAACGAAAGAGGACCTAGGTCTTTCAGTAAGCTAGAAAAACCAAACATTTCTACTTTGTCTGATGACTTGTAATCCACCTCCTGGAAATTTCATTAACCCGCGCCGATGTAGAAGCTTCTCATCTTGACCAGCGAATCCTGAAAAAATGGCATTCTAAACCAGTGCCAATAGTAGTTTTACGTTACACTGAAATAAGTTGCACTTTAATGGTGATAGGTCAGGGCTGTAAAGGAGGAACACAAAGGGATCATCTACCAAAATAGCCACAACATCGTTCTACAAGATACCAAATGTTGGTGCATGCGTGGCTCTGTATTGCTCCAATATTACCCGAATCCTTTGCGACGTGTCAATTACGGGCGTTCCTCTTTTATTACTTCAATGGTTGCGGTCTCCTTTCAATAATTAATGACAGGAAAAAAAAGCTTGATTTGATTGGTTGTCTGTGTGGGGGCACTACGTTGGCGACATGGCCTGTTTTCGATGCACAGTAGCCTTTGAGGTGTCCGATCTGGGTTCATCAAGCGTTCGCCACAACGTTTGTGATTGGCGCATTATGCTAAAACATTATTAAGGAATGTCTTTGGCTTGGTGAAGAGCAACTGCAGTTGTCTAACCAGAACAACTTTGACAATTCTCCAAAACAGTGAACCATCTTTCGGCAATCCTCGTACGTGAGTTCTCTTAAGTCATTGTTACGTTTTGCCCGTAACAAAGGAGAATACCACTCAAATAACGGTACCAGATCCCTCGCTGAAAGCTAGAACCGACCTTCCCAGGCTAATACCAGAACAAGACCAGAGCTCGTGCAGAGAGCTTTATTCACGTCAGCCACGTGCAGGGAAGAAGTGAAATCGAAAGTAATTTGAAAACTAATTCAAGTCAAGTTTGACCTTGACTTGATAAAAGCGTAACAAAACAAATTTTAATAAATTAATGTAAATAAAATCAGAAACCAATCCTGGGGAATCGTGGATCCCCGACAGTCACCAACACAATGAGCTCTACACGTCTCATCGACTTTCCCGTTGTTAAGGCGGGTTCTACAACTGATCGAAAACCAACAACCGCCAACGGAAGCAAGCGCGTTTGGTTTCTCGGAAAAAAACAAGATTAATTTCTCACTAACCTAGCATTTTTTACTGAGTTACGGCTCTGAATCACGTCAGCAAGTATAATTTGTAATTCAGACATGCCATTGTGTCAGCTTTGTGTGTGTACGTGTGTGAATACTGTATCAAATACATGAGACTGTAGCGGATTAACAGCGATCGCGCCTGAGTGAACCCTGTTTACCGACCTGACGGTGACAATGACTCATTTCCTTTTCATTAGTTATTGTATCAGATGCCTGACATCCATTCACTCATATACACACACAGACAGACACTTGGCTGGCGTGACGCTGATAAACGGTTGTGTCCTCTGTCTCCACTTTTCTCCCTTTCCTCGGGTGGTTACGGGCTGTTAACTAGAGGGTTGTAAGGTAGTGCTTAGACCACAGGACCCTTGCATCCTGTAATCTTGCATTTACCATTACCCAAGCAAATTTATTGTTCCAGCACACATTGTCCAATTTTATTCGACGTCTTACAAGTCGATATGAGGAGTATCCTTTGAACAAATGACAGTTGGGGCATTTGCAATAGCCATGCATGTTCGTATAAACTTCTAATTTCCTGTTTATGTTGAA